CTGGTTTTGGGATGCGGTAGGGGGAGGGGAGATTTTGAAACTTGTGAAATCCACATTGATACCATTGGGCTGCAGGGTTCCCAAGCGGAATATGAGTTGCTGTTCCTGCAACCTTCGGGTGGCATCGTTGTGGCACTGCAGGAGGCCCAGGATGGACATGTCGTCTGAGGAATGGGAGGGGGAGTTGAAATGGTTCGCGACTGGGAGGTGCAGTTGTTTATTGCGAACCGAGCGTAGGTGTTCTGCAAAGCGGTCCCCGAGCCTCCGCTTGGTTTCCCCGATGTAGAGGAAGCCACACCGGGTACAGCAGATGCAGTATACCACATTGGCAGATGTGCAGGTGAACATCTGCTTGATGTGGAAAGTCTTCTTGGGGCCTGGGATGGGGGTGAGGGAGGAGGTATGGGGGCAGGTGTAGCTCTTCCTGCGGTTGCAGGGAAAAGTGCCGGGTGTGGTGGAGCTGGAGGGTTGTGTGGAGCGGACAAGGGAGTCACGGAGAGAGTTGTCCCTCCGGAAAGCAGATAAGGGTGGGGAGGGAAAGATGTCTTTGGTGGTGGGGTCGGATTGCAGATGGCGGAAGTGTCGGAGGATGATGCGTTGGATCCGGAGGTTGTTCATCCAGCCCTGCACCTTGTTGTCTCGGATTCTTCAGCATCTGCAGTTCCTACTATCTTAGATAAATATAAGTTTGCTTTAACAATTTAAATTAGCTATCTTACCTACTAGAAGTGAGCTTTGCAATAACTTGTTTTTTCCCAAAATTGGAGATTTAAAATGGTGAAAGTTGGAATTATTTGCAGACACAAAGTTTACCCCTCTACATTTCATCTCCCACAATCTTACCCCCCTCTCTGCCAACTGCCCTCTCACTCCATGTGCATTCTCTACTCTCCTCTTTACCCCTTTGAATCTTTTCTCAGCCTCAGCACTCCTGAAAAATGCTGTTAGTCTTGCTACGTTTGTAGCGCCTTTGGAGATTAAACAGTAAGTACAGATTGTAAGTAATGCATTGTCATAAAAATTGTTGCATGTGATGTCGCCATCTAACAAATAGCAATGCAATTCCGATTATAAGACTGCCCCTTCAAATGCGATTGATCTGCTCCACCTCCACAGTCTGCTGACCCCCTATCAATCACATTCTACATGCTGCCCACTATCTGTACCCCTATCACTCCCAAAATCAGATTCCACTCCAGACACCATCCACTTGCCCTTAGTCCATGGATTCCCCCAGCTGAACCAGTCTCACCCTAACTGTTCTCCCACTGCATCCTTCTTATTCAGGCTTGCCACCTGACATAAACATTTAAACAATAAATCATTTTTAAACAATGTAATTTCATTTCATGAAAAGATGTCCTGTAATTATAAACTTAGATTGTGTCCATCCCAATTCATTACCTCTACCAACTCACAGTCAGAAGTCACGCAACACCAGGTTATAGTCCAACAGGTTTATTTGAAAACACACAAGCTTTCGGAGTGCACCTGATGAAGGGGCTGCGCTCCAAAAGCTTGTGATTTCAAATAAACCTGTTGGACTGTAACCTGGTGTCGTGTGACTTCTGACTTTGTCCACCCCAGTCCAACACCAGCACCTCTACATCATTTCTGCCAACTCACAACACAGCCGGGAGGTCATATTAGGGCCTGTACATTAATACCTATTGTTGATCAGACAGAAGAATGTTTCATGTATCATGTTTCTGTAAACAGTGCAAACCTTTAAGGAAGACAGATTTATGTTTCTGCCATGCCTCCAATGACATCAGGTCATCACAAGCCACATTTCAGCCCATTTTGGTTTGAACAATCGTCATTGTTGTAACGTAGGAATGCAATCTTGAAATTAAATGTTGAAAGTATATATATTAAAATAAAACAAATATACAGTTCTTAACTAATCACATTTAATTTTTTTTTATTCCCAGTTCCTACCACAGCTGGCACTGGAAGTGAGACCACAGGTGTGGCAATATTTGACTATGAAGCTATGAAAGTTAAAACAGGTACAAGAAACCATGATAGTGAAAATCACAATGGAGTGGCTCTTTCCCATGTTATGATAGGGTATTTTTAACTAATTACAAACCTGATCCATTCCATCATATCTTGCAAACCAGGAGCATCCTCAGAAGCCCCAAAATGGTGTGTGCACGTTTTGTATGTAATTCACACCACATGCAATTATTGGTTTGGGTGTTGATTTGAATTCAGTGAAAAGTGTTGTATAGTGTCATCACTCTCTAGCACCACAGAACTTATCTTAGTAAGCCACAGCTCTTAAAGCACAGAAAAATAAACCAAAACACAGACTATAAAGGCAAAAAAAAAATAAAGGAAGTGTCCAATTTTACAGTCCTTCTTATTAAGTGCTCTGCCGTGGTCCTGGTAGCCAGGCATGAGTCCCCTTCACTGCCCCTGCCCCTGTTGCCATTCTTCGGTGCCATCTCGCCTCTACCAATGCTGCTGGGCCTACTTGAGTCAACACTTCTGGGCCCGCTCACCACTGCCGATGTCATTGTCATGACCGAGCTCTTCACCAAACATTAAGTAAAATAAAATAAAAGAGAAAAAAAAACGAGAGAAGAAGAAAAGGAAAGAAAAGTGGATGGAGTAGTCGAGCCCTGGGTGCAGAAGTATAATGGAAGGTGACCATAGGGAATGAGTTCCAATTCTGTCAGTCTCGTTTCAAGCAGGTGCTGAAGATATTTGCAACATCTCTGAGTTTACAATATCTCCGAGTTTACAATATCTCCGAATTTGCTACAGTGATTACATCAGACAGGTTACTGGTGATCTTAGCAACCCAACTTTGGAGAGACGAGGTGTGAAAATTCAAAATTTTCTACTCTCTGATAAGTTCCCATCCCCAGAAGATTTTTCCAGATGCAGGCACCCATCCCCTGAAAGCAGACAATATTGGTGCATTAAGGGTCATTTAACCCTTAATTGTGTGCAGCAATGCAATATTTCAGGCTGTATGACTGTGGCGCCAGTGCAATGCCAGGGAATCTGGCCAAGTTTCATGTGGAAGATCAAAGGGATGTCAGATAACCCCCTGCCCACCACAAACCTCCCCCTTTCCCCCTTGGAACACTGTCATTCCCAGCCAAGCTGGCAGCAGCGGGTACCGCACTGGAAACTGATGCATTGGCCACCAGATTAAGTGACTCATCTTGAACACCTTTTTAAAAGTATCTGCTATTCCCATCCTCTAAGTAAAGTGAATAACTTCACACTTTCCCATCTTGATGCTCCACCTTTCACCTTCACCAAACAATTCACCAAAGATCCTCAGACATCACCTTCCAAAGCCACGTCTATTTCCATCTGGAAGGACAAGGACAGCAGATACATGGGAACACCACCACATGCAAGTTCCTGTCCAATCCTCTCACCGTCCTGACTTGGAAATATATTGCTGTTCTTTCATGGATGCTGGAATCTTGAAATTCCTTCCCTAATGGCATTGTGGGTCAACCTACAGCAGGTGGACTGCAGCGGTTCATAAAGGCAGCTCACCACCACCTTCTCAAGGGCACCTGGGGACGGGCAATAAATGTTGGCCCAGGCAGTAACGCCCACATCCCAGGAGTGAATACTAAAAAAAGTTACCAGTATTGTATCCCCTTGTAGCTTCTTTATGTCCTTCTCACATTTTTCTTTCCTCCCTAGCTTTGTAACATCAGTAACTGCAACGTGATGGAAACATTGAGAACTTGTGAACAGGAAATGATGGAGGATGTTAACATATGATGAGCTTGTAATTACAAAAGAATGAAATGATTATCACAGAATCCCTACAGTGTGGAATCAGGCCGTTCAGCTCATTGAGTCCACACTGACGCCCCCCCAAAGACCCACACCCACAAGACCTTATCCCTGTAACCATGCACTTCTCATGGCTAATCCACCTAGCCTGCACATCCCTGGACGGTTTACCATGGCCAATCCATGTAACTTAATATCCCTGGACACTATGGGCAATTTAGCATGGCCTATCCCGCACGTCTTTGGACTCTGGGAGGAAACCAGAGCACCCAGCAGAAACCCAAACAGAGACGGGGAGAACGTACAAACTCCACATAGACACCTGAGGCCAGAATTGAACCCAGGTCCCTGGCACTGTGAGGCTGCAGTGCTAATCACTGAGCCACCGTGCTATCTGAACATATCCATGGCAGAGGTGGAGAGGGGTAAGAATCCAGGCTTTGGTTGACTGGGGGCCCCGGGTTAGCTTGAAAGATATACATTGGGACCCCTTGGGAAGTCCTGATGTACTGACTGATGGACACACCAACCCCCAACCACCGTCATGCCCAGATCAGAACGTTTGGCCCATTGTAATTTATGTAATTCACTGTTGCTGACTGCAAATTAACTCCATAGCTCCTGCTTTCAACTAGCATTACATCAATGTTGCTTTACACAGTTATATAAGTGGCTTTAACACAAATTTAAGCGTCTTAATTAAGTTGCCTCCACACTGTATTTATGTGACATCACATATTAAGAACCTGTTTTGCTTGTGAAGCTTTGAATTAAGTTTGGGCAGATTTTATTTTTGGTTAATTTTCAGTTTTGTTTTTGGACTTAAAGTATTTTAATTACTCTTTAAAAAAAATCGTAATCTCATTTAGAGACTTGTACATTTGTTGACTGTCAAAATTATTTTTGATTTCTGACTCCATCCATACTTCCTGCTGCCTTGGGAAAGCAACCAACAACATCAAAGACCCCTCCGACTTCGGTTATACTCTCTTCCACCTTCTTCCATTGGCCAGAAGATGTAAAAGTTTGAATTCACGCACGAATAGATTCAAGAACACCTTCTTCCCCGCTGTTTGTACGGACCTCTCAAATGTTAATTCTGATCTCTCTCTCTTCCTGCACCTTCTCTGCAGCTGTAACACTATTCTGCACTCTGTTCTGCTGCCCTGATGCACTTTGTATGGCACGATGTGCCTGTATAGCATGCAAAACAATACTTTTCACTGTATCTTGGTACATGTGACAATGATCAATCAATCAATCACCATATTTGGCTTGGTGACTTTTGATTATGCTCTGTCCTATGCTGTTTGTTCCAACTCAGTGTTTTCTGTCCATTTACCAAACCTGAAACCTTGCGAATAGATCACCCCAATTGTAAGAGACCTTATCCTGTTCAGCAACTGCTGCAACATCTTATCAAATGCCTCATGAAATCCAAATAATCCAAATTTTCTTGTTTTCTTTTATTCTGCTAGAAACTAGGTCAGGTTCCAGTTATGCTGAGACTCTACCTTCCTCCTGAGTTTTTTTTCCCTGTCACCTGCTGGGGCCTTACAACCTGACTTTGACAGTTCAGAATAACAGGCCCCCTAGAAGCATTCCTGGTTTATAAGGTGCTTGCTAAAGACAGGTGAATGACTTAATCTCTCCCTGGCTCCAGAAAGTAGAGCAGAGACCATGACAGAGGTTCCCCGTGGGTACTGGATTGATAGAAGTTCTTAACCGATGAACTTAGAGTTATTATGTTAGAATTTTATCAAGACGGTGGCTTAGGACTGAGATGAGGAGAAATTTCTTCAGCCTGTGGAATTCATTATCACAGAAAGTGGTTGAGGCCAAAACATTTTCAAGAAGGTGGTCAATATAGCTTTTGTGGCTAAAGGGATCCAGTGACATGGGAGGAGGGTGGGATTAGGATATTGACTTCTCCCTGCTGTAGGAAAGATGGTATGAAACTTGAAAGGGTTCAGAAAAGATGTATAAGGATGTTGCAAGGATTGGAGGGTTTGAGCTATAGGGAGAGGCTGAATAGGCTGGGGCTATTTTCCCTGGAGCATCGGAGGCTAAGGGGTAACTGTATAGAGATTTGTAAAATCATGAGGGGCATGGATAGGGTGAATAGACAAGGTCTTTTCCCCAAGTTGGGGGAGTCCAAAACTGGAGGGCATAGGTTTAAGGTGAAAGGGGAATGATTTAAAAGGGACCCGAGGGGCCACTTTTTCACGCAGAGGGTGGTGCATGTATGGAATGAACTGCAAGAGGAGGTGGTGGAGGCGGGTAAAATTGCAACATTTAAAAGGCATCTGGATGGATATATAATTGGGAAGGGCTTAGAGGGATATGGGACCAATGCTGGCAAATGGGACTAGATTAATTTAGGATATCTGGTTGGCATGGATGAGTTAGACCAAAGGGTCTGTTTCCATGCTACAGCTCTATGGCTTCAATGGTCAGTCGTAATCATGTTGAACGTTGGAGCAGGTTTGAAGGGTCAAAAAGCCTGCTCCTGCTCTTGTTTAATATGTTTCTATCTGTCAGATATTATTTTTCTTCCGAGTACGTGTCACTAAATCTCCACAATAATGAGCAGAAATCATTTTGGCTTTCTCACCAAATGTATCAGAGTCAAGGAACTTAGATGGTTTTGTTTTCACACTGTCTGCTGAATGTTCCATCTTAGGTATTGCCAACAGGGCTCTGAAACCAGTGCTTGGAATCGTGGACCCTTTGCATACTCTGCACATGCCCGAACGCGTGGCTGCTTACAGTGGATTTGATGTACTTTGGTAGGTAATCTTTCCAGATTTGAAACTGATGTTTCATGCTCAAAATTGAGTTAGCAACTGCTTCCTCTCTGTTAGCACAACATCACTAGAGATGTGGTGGAAATCATGTCATCCATTGCATCAGTGAGTACAGATTGAGAGAAACTCTGAAAAAGTCCTTTGGGATCCTCCCTGGCTCCAGAGATTCCTGAAAGATCACCACCAGTGACTCCACAATCTTCCCAGCTGTCTCCTTCAGAACTCTGCAGTGTAGCCCATCTGGTCCAAGTAGTAAAAGTTTAAATGATCAAAGGAATAATATTCCGTGTGGAAATTTCAGTATGTGTTTAATTATTTAACATATATTTTTCTTAGTTTGATGAGTTTTTTTTCTAATTTTTACAGACTAATTCGAAAATACACATCTTTGTTATGAACAATTGAATTTCTCACAGAATTTCTCATTCTGTTTTTTTTAGCTTTAGGTAGTTTTCTTCCTATTAGTTGATCTCCGAACATCTTTGAGAATCGCGCATGTGGGCATACTGTCTGAGAGTCGCGCATGTGGGCATACAGTCTGAGAGTCGCGCGTGTGGGCATACAGTCTGAGAATCACACGTATGGGCATACAGTCTGAGAGTCACGTATGCTTTTGATTGATTCCAGGCCATTCAGAATGCTGATACTTGATTAAAATTACATTCAACCACTTCACACCTTACTGACTGAGGGAATCAGATATAAAACCCTATTAATCCTATATACACATAATCAAAGGGGACAGAGGTGAGTGTAGTGGTCATCACTAATGAGAAGGTGCTGGGTAACTGAAAAGTGTAAAGGTGGAAAAATCACTTGGACCACATGGACTACACTGCAGAGTTCTGCAGGAGATACCTGGGGAGATTGTGGAGGCATTGGTGGTGATCTTTCAGGAATCACTGGAGTCTGGGAGGATCCCAAAGAACTAGAAAATGATTAATGTAACATCCCTGTTTAAGAAGGGAGGGAGGCAAAAGACAGGAGAGTACAGGCCAGTTAGCCTGACCTTGGTTATTGGTAAGATTTTAAGAGACCATTGTTAAGGATGAGATTACAGAGTACTTGGTAAAATAGGACTGGGTCAGCATGGCTTCACATCAAGGGGAAGTCATGCCTGACAAATCTGTTAGAATTCTTTGAGAAGATAATCAGCAAGTTAGTTAAGGAGAGCCATGATCTTTTTGTATTTCCAGAAGGCCTCTGATAAGGTACTACATAGGAGATTGCTAAATAAGATAAGAGCCCATGTTATCAGGGACAAGGTACTGGCATGGATAGAGAATTGGCTAACGGGTAGAAGGTAGAGAATTGGGATAAAGGGGTTATTTTTAAGGATGGCTGCCAGTGACTAGTGGAGTTCTGCAGGGGTCAGTGTTGGGATCACAACTATTCACATTATACATTTGATGATTTGGGGGCATGGTTGCTACTCTGCAGATGACACAAAGGTAAGTGGAGGGACAAGTAGTGTTGCGGGGAGGCTGGAGAAGGACTTGGACAGGCTAGGAGAATGGGCAAAGGATTGGCATATTGAATACAGTGAGGGCAAGTGTGAGGTTATGCACTTTGATAGGTAGAGTAGAGGTGTAGAAGTTCTATGTGGGGAAAGGCTTTGGAAATCTGAAGCACAAACAGTGTTGGGAGCTCTAGTTCAAGATTCTGTTAAGGTTAACAAGTTAGCAGTTAGAAAGGCAAATGTAATGTTAGTATTCATTTCAAGAGGGCTAGAATACAAGAGTAGGGAGGTACTGCTGAGGCTGTATAAGGCTCTGGTCAGACCGTATTTGGAATATTGTGAGCAGTTTTGGGCCCCATATCTAAGGAAGGATGTGCTGTCTTTGGAGGTGATCCAGAGGGGGTTCACAAGAAAGATCCCAGGGTTGAAGGACTTGTCACATAAGGAGTGATTGAGGACTCTGGGTCTGTACTTGGTGGAGTTTAGAAAGATGAGAGGGAAATCTGATTGAAACATGCAGAATACTGAGAGTCCTGGATGGAGTGGACATGGAGAAGATGTTTCCACAGGTAGGAGAAACTAAGACCCAAGGGCACAGCCTCAGTGTGAAAGGATGACCCTTTAGAACTGAGGAGGAGGAATTTCTTCAGCCAGAGGGTGGTGCCTCTGTGAAACTAGTTGCTGCAAAAGGCAGTGGAGGCCAAAGTCATTGAGTGTATTTAAGACAGAGGTACGTTCTTGATTAGTAAGAGGATCAAGGGTTATGGTGAAAAGACAGGAGAATGGGTTTGAGGAACCCTTCAGCCATGACAAATGGGGGAACAGACATGATGGGCTGAATGGCCTAATTCTGCTCCTATATGTGATAGTCTTAAAGTACAGGAGCTGTCTAATGATTCTTCAGATCATTGGAATTAGTATAAAGTGCTTATAGTAGGGTTTTATCTTTGATCAGTGATGTGAGGGTAATTTTTATGTACTTCCTTAAGGAGCCAAACTGATAATTTCAGTCATATTTCTCGTATACTTTTCTTCCACGTAATTGAGATGATCTCATTCTTGATCTTTCAAATGTTCTAACTTCATTGTGTCTCCAGCATGCAATATGGAGTCATGGAGTCATACAGCATGGAAACAGATCCTTTAGTCCAACCAGTCCATGCCGACCATAATCCCAAACTAAACCAGTCCCACCTGTTTGCACTTAGCCCATATCCCTCCAAACTTTTCCTATTCATGTACTTATCCAAATGTCATTTAAACATTGCAATTGTACCCACATCCACCACTACCTCAGGAAGTTCATTCCACATGCAAATCACCGTCTGTGTAAAAAATTTGCCTCTCATGCCTTTTTTAAATCTCTCTCCTCTCACCTTAAAAATGTGCCTGCTAGTCCTGACATTCCCCACCCTAGGGAAAAGACACCACCATCAACCTCACCTATACCCTTCATGATTTTATAACTTTCTATAAGGTCACCTCTCGACCTCCTACGCTCCAGTGAATGACTGTTTCTGCACTATTTTGCCAAATACGTCAGTTTGCAGCACAATTGGCACAGTCTATGGAAAGAAACCCAGGCAGGTTCCAAACCTGATCATTGTAATAGCTGCTGGGATGTGTCTATAGATGTCCACCGTGGCTCTGATATCCCAAAGCCAGCACTCGACACTCGTGTACAATATTGACAACTTGACACTGATCATTCAGCATGTTCTCAGCATGTCTTCAAGAAGCAAAATGACCATTATATCCTGTCATTGGAGAATCAGCATATGAGTATATCATAGTAGTTAAATATGAAATAATTATTTTAGTTTTCTCTTAAGTCAACGTAATTTCATATTGCCAAAAATAAATATATTCTTAGAATAAGAGACTTTGGCAGTCGTTCTTCTGGCTGCTGCTGTGATAGTTTCGGCTCTGAAGAGTCTCTAAGGAATCCATATTAGTGTGTTGAATTGCAACAAATGTTTGATCAATGTTTAGTGTAAGGTAATATTTTGATAAAGGGAGTTGAAGCACACATCCTTGCTAAGGAGAATAGGTAGTCTCTGTATTTATTTATTGAAGTGAACACTTGAAACACCATAGCACTACAAGGCTCTGGGCAAAATGGTGGGAAATGGGATTGGTTAGATGTGTGTTTTGATGACTGATGCAGATAGGATTGAATGAGGAGCCTCTTTCCATGTTGTAAAACACTGTGTGTCTACAAATTGCATCTATTGTACAAGAAAAAGGCTGCATGTTGTTTTGCAGCTCGAGCTGCCTTCAACAACCACTCTTAACCTCTCCAAACTGAACAGTATAAAAGGCAGATGAGCATTGCGAGATTGAATAAAGTCGTGCCAACTGCTCACTGTTCACCTGCTGCTGCAGATCACGGAAGGAGATTTCTGATAAGCCATTGGGAGGCTTTGAGGAATCCTTAGTCTGTTAAATTTCTGAGAGGGAGTAACTCACGTAACTGGAGACCTTACAGGAGTTTGAAATGAAAATGAGCTGGAGCAACTGGAGGTAGTTGTCTCGGTAAAGAGTGTAGGAGACCAGACTTTGGCACTTAGGAAGGAAGGACTGAGTGGAAGAGCATGCAGAGAGGACGGGTACATGGCAACATAGAAATCTGTTACATTTATCCACCTTTTGGAGTTCCACAGCAAGCCATTAACTGGCTAACATCATCAAATGAGCATTTGTGCTCAAGGCTGCTGCTGATAAACTAGAATTAGGACCAGGAAGGGTTAAGAAGAGTTAAAATTGAAATCATTTTCAAATCTAATCAAATTGCTGGAAGACACATCAACCACAAACCAATCAAATTGCTTAAATAGTAACAGATGCTTCTGATGCAAAATTCAAAAGACCAATCAAACTGGCTAGAAAAAAGCCTGAATCCTCTTATTAATAATGTAAAAACTTTTTAAAGTTCAAGTAGTCACATTTAAATTCCACCGCACAGGAAAAATATTTAAAGTTGTTGATGTTCACTCTTCTTGTTCACAGTCATGCTCTGGAGTCCTACACAGCTCTTCCCTACAACTTGCGATCACCGTGCCCATCTAACCCAATCAATCGTCCGGCTTATCAAGGGAGCAACCCTATCAGTGATGTGTGGTCCAAGCATGCCTTAAGAATTGTGGCAAAGTATTTGAAACGGTAATGCAAAACCTATCTCCAACTGTGACTGGTTACAGCTTTAATAATTTGGTACCGAAAAAGAAATTGCTGGAGAAACTCAGCAGGTCTGGCAGCATCTGTGGAGAAAGAAACAGAAGTTGTATAAGGCTCTGGTCAGACCGCATTTGGAATACTGTTAGCAATTTTGGGCCCCATATCTAAGGAAGGATGCACTGGCGTTGAATGGGGTCCAGAGGAAGTTTACAAGAATGATCCCGGGAATGAAGGGCTTGTCACATGATGAGTGTTTGAGGATTCTGGGTCTGTACTTTATAGAGTTTGTAAGGATTAGAGGGACTGAAATGTACAAAACACTGAGAGATCTGAGTAGAGTGGAAATGGAGATGATGTATCCATGAGTAGGAGAGACTAAAGCCCAAGGGCACAACATCAGAGTGAAGGGACGATCCTTTAGAACTGAGATGAGGATGGATTTATTTAGCCAGAGGCTGGTGAATCTGTGAAACACATTTCTAAAGAGAGCTGTGGAGGACGTGTCATTGAGTGTATTTAAGACAGAGATGGATAGGTTCTTGATTGGTCTGGGGATCAAGGGTTACAGGGAGAAGGCAGGAGAACAGGATTGAGAAACATATCAGCCATGATGGAATGATGGAGCAACCTCGATGGGCCTATTGGCCTAATTCTGCTGCTATATCTCATGGTGACCCTTAACTCATTTGATTTTAATAATGCGTTGTTTTGTGTTCAAAGAGGAGCTCAGCTTACAATGTAAAATGATTAATAAATAATTAATGGTAAATTTAAATTTTTGAGGAAGAAAATATTTTGCAGAACAGGATTGGGAATTGTTGTTTTGGCAGAGTACGGGTTTACATATATTCCCAGGTTGCTGCCAATCACACAGCTAGCCAACAGAGGGCAGTATAGCAAATCCAGAAATCAGAGGGCAGTGAATCTATGGAATTCTTTAACACAGGCTGTTATCAATAAATGTATTTGAGGCTAAGAAAAGCAGATTTTTAATTAATAAGGGAATGAAAGTTTATGGAATGTAGGCACTGAAGTGAAGTTGAGGATGATCAGAACAGCCACAATCTTATTGAATGGCAGAGCAATGGGCCGAATGGCCTTAATCTGCTTGTACATCCTTTTGGTGTTAAAGTCATCAGCAATGTGAGACTTTGTTCAAAAAAAGAACTTTAGAAATCTATTACAGAGAGATCAATTAATCTTATTATTAAAGTTACTTAGCTCCAACATAATGGAAGAAAAATGAAGTGAACTCTTCCAAAGTAATCAGTCTAAAATGTAACCATGTTCTAATAATCTATTAGTTTATATATTCTAACTGATTGGTGCATGATGACAGCTAAATTATATTCTTCATTTCTTCTCTGGTTTATTTTATACTGTACGTGGTTAAAAATATCATGGTTAAAGTTAAAAATAAGATTTTATATTTATAATACCCTGAGTATTTGCTATAGGACTGAACTCCAAACCCACTGAAGAATTATACTTGGGGTAGAATTAAATAAGAGGTGTGCAGTCCCTAACAGAAAGTCAGGCCATGAGCACAACTCCTTCTGGGAGCTGCACACACGCAGACCCACTGCAGATTAAAGAGTGTGCAGTAGGAGCAGGTCCCACATCCTATCACACTTTGGGAGATTGCTGTCTGTAACTGCCTTCTCCTCACCTGCTGATCTCCAAGTCACAAGAAGGTGTATTGGCCATGGAAGAAACATTGAAGCACACTGGTAACACTGTGGAGCTAGAGGAACACAGCAGGTCAGGCAGCATCAAAGGAGTAGGAAAGCTGACATTTCGGGTCGGGACCCTTCTTCAGAAATTATTATACTTCCCCCACTCGCCATGGTGTACCGGAGGTAGAGGATATGTGCAGTGAGGTAGTTCTTGATGGAGACTGGGAGAGATGGATGCACAGGGTTTGCAGTGAGGAAAGATGGTGAGGTCACTGCATCACTCATGGTCACAACTACTAAAGGTGAAGTTCTTTCTGATAGTCCAACTACATTTCTGCATGACCCTGGTGCCTGGGTGAGCTGCTCTGAGATCTCAGTTCTCCACCACATACGTCATCTCCACATGCACCAGTGTAGTGCAGCCTGGGAAATACCAGCCGTGTTCCCTGAAATGGAGCTCTGAAATGAGCAGCTGGTGAAGAAGTTTAGAGGCTGACTGACATGGGTTCCCTCCAAGCCCTCAGAGCTGCAGGTGAGTGACTGCCTCCTGAGAAAAAAGCCATATCCATGTGCAACGTTACCTCTTGGACATCCGGAGATAGTTGGTGTACATTATGATCATGTGCTGACATGCCTATGCTCTGCAGTGATGAAGATGACCTCCATTAGGTTTCTACCGACCTCCCTTCCCCTTCAGCTGATGACCTTGTGGCCTGTGTTTTTTTGTGACCAAGGCACTCCTCTGGTAACAGCCAAGGCTGTAGAGAGACTGGGTGTAGTGTATGAGACGCAGTACAGATCCACAAAGGGAACCATGTGGAGGCGGAAGGCAATGATGTCTGCACCTCTGTTGGCATGGCCTTCATTCCTGCAACATCTGTGGTTAAACAATGGGATTGCATGACCCTCCCATGGGCCATGCCCAGAACCCCTCCCATCCCACAGTGGCCTCCTCCCTGATCTCCTGTAATGTGAAGGTTTCCCACCTGATCTCCTGTGGGGTAGCAGCTTCCTAGCAACCATGTAGATGTACACTAACACTGACCTGCAGCTGGATCTGCCTGGCTTCAAACTCCGATTCCCTTCCCTGACTGGTGACCTTCTTTGTGTGGTGGCGTAGTCTCCCTTAGGACCTCCACCTCTTAACCCTTTACTTCAAGACATGGATGCATTTTGCCAACCCAACCACTGTGCCATTTGAGGACCTGACTACCAAACTCTATTGCCTCCTTCTTGTCCTTTCTGCCACCATCCCTGGTAACATCTCCTGTACAGGTGAGGTAGACAAAGACAAAACTTCACCTCACATCTAAAGATTGAACAGCCTTGTTTGGTGCACACCATCTTTAAACCATGAGGAAACAGAAGGCACAAGGTTCCTGACTTAATCCTGAAGGTGGACTGAATTTGGTGTGCTTCCCAATGAATGAGTTTTCAAGCTACACAAGTAAACAGGAAATTGGTTCCCAGTATCCGGCAACATGTTGGCTGCTCTGCCAATGACGTGCCGCCCAGTTTATCACACACAGCCTCAAGCTGATGTAGCAAACCCAAGATGCCAGCTCCTGTGTACATAACCACATCCCCTTCCCCCGCCCCCCGCAACACCCTGAGCCTACCATCCTTCCTATTCTTACAAGCCCCATTAAATACTGCCCTTGGTATTATCGTCCATGTTGAATGCTGTAGAGATTGTTCCTGTGAATGCTGTATCACGTGTAAAATATTAATTTCTCCTTCAAACTGCTAGTGCTGTCAGACACCCTGATGACTTCAAGGCTAGATACAACATGCACCTTGCAAGTGTTTTTGCAGGAATTGGCTTTGGAAATGCTGGTGTTCACCTCTGGTAAGCAATGTAATACACGTGTGTGATATGAAGGCCAATCTTCAATAGATAACACGCATTTGCAGAACTGAATATTTTATGAACTGATTTGCCTATTTCTTTCTTTGCTGTGTATTGGTTAGTAGGGGTTGGTTAGCTCAGTTGGCTAGACATCTGGTTTGTCATACAAAGGGGCAGCAACAGCATGGGGTTGATTCACAGATCAGCTACTACAAAGATCCCACCTTCTCAACCTCACCCCTTATCTGAAGGATGGTGACCCTCAGGTTAAACCACCATCCGGTTTTTTTTCTCTCTCTAAGAGGGAACAGCCCTATGGCCTGGTAAAACAATGGTGACTTTACCCTACATTTTATTATCTATTCATTCATGGGATGAGGGTGTCACTGACCAGGCAGCATTTATTGCCCATCCCTAATTGCCTAGAGTCAACCACATTGCTAAGGTCTGAAGTCATATGTAAGTCAGACCAGGTAAGGATGGCAGTTTCTTTCTCCTTAAGGGCATTAGTGAACTAGATGGGTTTTTACAACAATCAATTCATGGTTATCATTAGATTCTTAATTCCAGATACTCTATTGAATTCAAAATCCATCATCTGCCGTGGCAGGATTCAAACCCGGGTCCCCAGAACGTTACCCGGGTCTCTGGATTAACAGTCCAGCAATAATACCACTAGGCCATTGCCTCCCCCACTTTATTACTCAGCCTTTGAAGTCTGCAGATTTAGCAGCATCTGTGCCAAAAGGTAACATTACTGCAGAGTACCTACTCAACACAAACCTGCCTGTAATCATTGTTGGCTGTGATCAATCAAAATGCACTATAAAGGGATCTCCTAAACTTTAAAATGAATGTAATATTGCTACCTGCAGAGGACCCTTCTTTAAGGTTTGAGTATGTGTTTTATTATCCTATAAAAAGTAAGAGAGTAACTAAAGTAAACATTACTCTCTTAGAAGCAAAGACAGGAGAAATTTATGAGAAAATGTCAGAGGTATTGGAACAAATGTCTTGTAACTGCCTTCACCGAAGAAAAATCATTACATATCAAAAATAGAGGTTAAACTAGGGTTTAAATAGAATGAGAAAATTAAGGTCACTTCAAGGAAACTTGAAGATCTGGCTATCCCCCAGGACCTATCAGACTAAAACCTAGGAGTCTAAAAGAGTTTGCTGTCACCTTAGTTGGTGCAGTGTCTGGGATTTTCTCTGGCTGAGCTTTGATAATCAGTTTCAAAGTTGGAAAATGTAACACCACTTTTCAAGAAAGGAGAGAGAGAGAGGGAAAGTGAGGCATTAAAGACCAGTTCGCCTCAGATTGGTTGTTGTGAGAATGCTGGTGTCCATTATTAAGAGAACTTTTAACAATTCACTTGCGTTATAGGCATCGCAAGGAAGGGAATGCTGGGAAGAGAGGGATGGGGAAGGATACTGGGATGTGATCACACAAATAGCCAGTGCTCTGCTGGTTGAATGCCAACAGCAACAGACATTGCCATCCGGATAGGGAGGGCAAACATTCCAAATTGAATCAAAGAGAAGCAGGAGGTTGGCAGGATCTCTACCCCATACCTCGCCAACCCAAGGACATGGCTCATTCCTACAGGAAGGGACATTGAATTCCATCTGCTTATTATCCAACAGCTTTGTAAAATCCCAACACACTATCTACTGAACCCCTTTGTCTACCCAGTCAATCACTTTTTGAAAACCATAAATTTGACAAACAGCATATGCCCTTAAAAATCCAAACTGCCTCTGAAGTAATTCAGGAAATTTTAAGTCTCACTAATTTTAATCTATAATTATGGATTCTGTTAATTTTAACATGAGACTTTTAAAATTATGCTGAATTTTTCGGACTTCTTGAGTTACACAAGAGAAAATACAGTAACTCAAACTGTACGTTTTGTGTAATTTTCTCAGTCATGGAATGTCCTATCCGATAGCAGGAATGGTGAAAAACTTTAGAGCCAAGGACTACAATGTGGATCACCCTTTGGTGGTATGTATTTTCTTTGAATTATGCACAGAGCAGACTCAGACATAAGTCATGCAGGGAATGTAATAAATATGTATTACAAAGCAGTGACTTATTTTTGGAGTCAGCTAATGTGAGAGGGCTACAATTGGTTTGGGGGGATAAGGAATATGGGCTTTTTGCTAAACTTGTAATGTGTCACATGAGAAACTAGGAGCAAGAGTAGGCCATTCAGCCCTTCGAGCCTGATCCTCTATCTCAGTGCCATTTTCCTGATTTTCCCCATACCTCTTCATGCCTTTAAAATGTAAAAGATTGTTGTGTTCTTGTATATATTTAACCTGTGACGTTATTATTCATCTGAATCACGGGTAACTTGTTGAAAGTTTCTCACTTAACGGTGATGAGCAATGACATGTTGCTGAGATTAAAACACTTAAATACAATAGAAAACATGGTTAGTAAGTTTGCGGATGACACCAAAATTGGGGTACAGTGGACAGTGAAGAACGTTATCTAAGATTGCAAAGAGATCTTGATCATTTGGGTCAATGGATTGAGGAGTGGCAGATGGAGTCTAATTTGGATAAACGCAAGTTATTGCATTTTGGTAAAATGAACAAGGCAGGACTTAAAACAATTAAAAGTAGGACCTTGGGTAGTGTTATAGACCAGAGAGATATAGGGGATCAGGTACATAATTCTTTGAAGTTTGCATCACATATAGACAGGGTGGTTAAGAAGGTGTTTGGCACACTTGCCTTCATTGCTCAGACCTTTGAGTTTAGCAGTTGGGAAGTGTGTTGCGGTTGTACAGGACATTGGTGAGACCTCTTCTGGAATACTGTGTCCAGTTCTGGTCACCCTGGTGTAGGAAGGATATTATCAAGCTGAAGAGTGTTCAGAAAAGATTTACCAGGATGTCGCTAAGAAAGGAGGGGGTTGAGTTATGGGGAGAGACTGGATAGGCTGGGACCTTCTTCCACTGGAGTGTAAGAGGTTGAGAGGCGACTTTATAGAGATTTATAAAATAATGAGGGGTATAGATAGGGTGAATGGCAGGAGTCTTTTCCTGAGGGATTTCAAGACTAGGGAGCATATTTTAAGGTGAGAGGGGAAAAATTTGAAAAAGACATGGGGGCAATTTTTTTTGACACAGAAGGTGGTTCGCATGTAGAATGAACTTCGAGGAAGTGGTCGATGCGGGTATAGATACAATGTTTAAAAGATAAGTCCATGAGTAAGAAATGTTTGGAGGGATATGGATCAGGAGCAGGCAGATGGGACTAGTTTAGTTTGGGATTATGGTTGACACAGACTGGTTGGACCAAAGATTCTGTTTCCATGCTGTATGACTCTGTGATTCTATGGCTGTAACACTGTATTCTGCACTCTGTTCTGCCACCCTGATGCAATTTATGTGGTATAATCTGCCGTGGAGCACGCAAAACAACACTTTTCACTCTATCTCAGTACATTTGACAGCAAGAAATCCAACTCAAACTTATGACTCTTTGTCAGAGACCTAGTTTATCCTTTAAATGCAACAGGTTGCTCTTCTAGTTCTGTAATCTGATAGATTGTAGATCATGTCAAAGTTACATGTATCTCAAGTGACTCACCTGGTAATATAAAGTAGCTCCAATTTCAATAAAGAATTTTGTTATAATGAGTATTGCAGGGTGATCACTTCTTTATTATCAAAGAATGTTGACATGTTAAACCTCTGTTATCTGTTCAAAAACCGATGATTACTTTGAGCAGTCCTCACAGTCAGAGAGGTAGAATCTGTCCCCAACAGAGGGTGTGGTGGTGGGGAATGTGATTATATTTAATGTAGTAGGAAGGTTGCACTTTTTACCTCCATTCTAATGTAAATCAGCAGCCGTTTTGCCCGTGGATGTCTACTGCTGGTATTGACCCAGTGAAGGGCCAGTGAGCCTGACATCAGTGCTAAGCAAGTTATTGGAGAGGATACCAAGGGATAGAATCAACCAATATTTGGATAGTCAAGGTCCGATTAGGGATAGTCAGCATGGATTTGTGTGTGGCAAGTCATGTCTGACAAACCTTTTAGAGTTTTTCAAAGAGGTAACCAAGAGGATAGATGAGGGTAAGGCATGTTGTCTATATGGACTTTAGTAAGGCCTTTGACAAGGTCCTGCAAGGCAGGCTAGTCATGAAAGTTAGGTCGCATAGGATCCAGGGAGAGCTAGCTAATTGGATTCAAAATTGGCTCAGAGAAAGCATAGGTTAATGGTTGAAGGTTGTTTCTCGGACTGGAGGCCTGTGACTAGTGGTGTGCCACAGGGGTCAGTGCTGGGACCTTTGTTATTCATTATTTGCATAAATGATCTGGATATGAATGTACAAGGCATGATTAGTAAGTTTGCAGATGATACAAAATTAGAAGGTATCGTTGATAGCGAGGAAGGTTTTCAAATATTACAGAGGGATCTTTTACTGATGAGCAAGTGGGCTGAGGATTGGCAAATGCAATTCAAAACAGATAAGTGTGAGGTAACAAGGTGTAGAGCTAGATGAACACAGCAGGCCAAGCAGTACTATCTCTAAGTGTGAGGTGTTGCACTTTGGAAAGTCAAACCAAGGTAGGACTTATACAGTAAGTGGTAAGGTCCTGAGGAGTGTTGTGGAACAGCGGGACCTAGGAGTACAAGTACATAGTTCTTTGAAAGTGGTGTCACAGGTGGGCAGGTTGGTGAAGAAGGCATTTAGCATGCTGGCCTTCATCGGTCGAGGCATTGAATATAGGAGTTGGGACGTTATGTTACAGTTGTATAGGTCATTGGTGAGGCTGTACTTGGAATACTGTGTACAGTTTTGGTCATCCTGTTATAGGAAAGACATAGTTAAACTGGAAATTATGTGAAGAAGATTTACAAGGATGTTGCCAGGACTAGTAGGCTTGAGTTGTAGGGAGAGGTTGGCCTGGATAGGACTTTATTCCTTGGAATGTAGGAGAATGACAGGTGACCTTATTGAGGTGTATAAAATCATGAGGGCATAGATAGGATGACTGCATATAGTCTTTTTCCCAGGGATGAGGAATTGAAAACTAGAAGGCATAGGTTTAAAATGAGAGGGCAAAGATTTAAGAAGGACCTGAGGGGCAACTTCTTCATGCAGAGAGTGGTTTGTATGTGGAATGGGCTGCCAGAGAAAGTGGTTGAGGCAGGTACAATAGCAACATTTAAAAAAACGTTTGGATTGGTACAATGATGAGAAGGGTTTCGAGGAATACAGACCAAATGCGGACAATCGGAACTAGCTGAGTGGGCACCATGGACCAGTTTGAGCCGAAGGGCTATGCTGTATTACTCTATGACTCACTCTGCGAGAGCACAACTGAATGACCCCAGAACTGGGGTGAAGTTGGGTTGAAATCTGGCGGATCCCTGAGATGGAAGTAAGAAATATTGTAAATGAACTGGAAATGAGGTAGAAAATTCAGTTTAAGGTCAAACTGAAAGCCAAGGGCTAACTGCAGTAGACTATATTCGAGTGAGCAACTCATAGAATCCCTAGGTGTGGAAGGACGCCATTCAGCCCATTGGGTCCACACTGATCTTCTGAAGACCATCCCACCCAGACCCATGCCTCTCCCTTTCCCTGTAACCCTGCATTTCCCACGGCTAATCCAACTAGCCTGAACACTACGGGCAATTTAGCATGGCCAGTCCACCTAACCTTCACATCTTTTGCGGATGACACCAAAGTTGGTGGAGTTGTGGATAGTGCGGAAGGATGTTGCAGGTTACAGAGGGACATAGATAAGCTGCAGAGCTGGGCTGAGAGGTGGCAAATGGAGTTTAATGCGGAAAAGTGTGAGGTGATTCACTTTGGAAGGAGTAACAGGAATACAGAGTACTGGGCTAATGGTAAGATTCTTGGTAGTGTGGATGAGCAGAAAGATCTCGGTGTCCATGTGCATAGATCACTGAAAGTTGCCACCCAGGTTGATAGCGTTGTTAAGAAGGCGTACAGTATGTTAGGTTTTATTGGTAGAGGGATTGAGTTTCGGAGCCATGAGGTCATGTTGCAGCTGTATAAAACTCTGGTGCGGCCGCACTTGGAGTATTGCGTACAGTTCTGGTCACCGCATTATAGGAAGGATGTGGAAGCATTGGAAAGGGTGCAGAGGAGATTTACCAGGATGTTGCCTGGTATGGAGGGAAGGTCTTATGAGGAAAGGCTGAGGGTCTTGAGGCTGTTTTCGTTAGAGAGAAGAAGGTTAAGAGGTGACTTGATAGAGACATACAAGATGATCAGAGGATTAGATAGGGTGGACAGTGGGAGCCTTTTTCCTCGGATGGTGATGGCTAGCACGAGGGGACATAGCTTTAAATTGAGGGGTGATAGATATAGGACAGATGTCAGAGGTAGGTTCTTTACTCAGAGAGTAGTAAGGGCATGGAATGCCCTGCCTGCAAAAATAGTAGACTCGCCAACTTTAAGGGCATTTAAATGGTCATTGGATAAACATATGGATGATAATGGAATAGTTTAGGTTAGATGGGCTTCAGATTGGTTTCACAGGTCGGCGCAACATCGAGGGCCGAAGGGCCTGTACTGCGCTGTAATGTTCTATGTTCTTTAGACTATGGGAGGAAACCAGAGCACCCAGAAGAAACACACATAGACACGCTCCACCATTTGATATGATCATGGCTGATCTCATCTCAGCCTCAACTTTACTTTGCTGTTCGCTCTCCATAGCCCATTACTAATGAAAAATCTGTCTAAATTTATTTTAAATTTACTCAATGTCCCAGCTTCTATCACACGCTGGGGTAGTGAATTCTGCAGATTCATGAACCTTTGAGAAGTAATTTCTCCTCCTCTCTGTTTTAAAACTGCTACCCCTTATCCTAAAACTATGACCTTTTGTTCAAGATTGCCCCACATGTGAAAACATCCTCTCTACATCCACCTGGGGACCCTGCAGCCCTCCGGACTCAATATTGAGTTCAATAATTTTAGGGCCTAAAGTCTCCCATGTCCCAGCCCCCAACCCCACACACCAGGCCTTGTTACCACATAGCCTGACATTACAGACCCCCGTTGTTAGTCACTAACAGTCCCCATTAACAACTATTCACCCTCCCAGCCTGATCGTTAGCAACTCCTTTGTCTGTCCAACTGTCTTTCTCTCTCTTTGGGCCCTATCCTATCATTTACTCCCTACCCCACCCACCTCCCTAGTTTCACCATATAAACTGACATCTTCCCAGCCACCATCAGTTCTGAGGAAGGGTCACCGGACCCAAAACATTAACTCTGTTTTTCCCTTCACAGATGCTGCCAGACCTGCTGAGCTTTTCCAGCAACTTTGTATTTTTATCCTCTCTACATCAACTTCCTCAATCCCCTTTAGCATCTTTTACACCTCAAGTAGATCTCCTTGTAAGACAAGCCCTTCATCTCTGGAATCAACCTCTGAACTGCTTCCAATACATCTACATCCCTCCTCAAGTAAGGGGACCAAAATTGGGCAGGATGGTTTGTGCTGTTTGGAAATTAGATAGGTAGTACTTCGATGGCAAAAGTAATTGTAAGAACCTTCAATAGAAATTGAATAGTAGTGTGCAATGTTAAGATAGGACTTTATAAAGGGTGGGAGCATTAAGGATTTAAAAGGATAGGAATAATGCCTGATGTAAATAAACAGCGGATGTGTCAGCAAGCAAGAGGGGAAGGGAATTGATGATCAGTAGCTGTAGTGAACAAATAGCAGCTTTGACAGAGGACATTAGTCTCCTGTGGATTGAAGAAGGGACATGTGGAAGAAACTCTAAATTGTTTAGGATCTATGTTGCGTAATGTAATCATTTTGACAGTTAGTGTTGGATTCTGTTATTCCTGCCCCACTTTATGATGTCACATTGTCTTTGGATGGAGAAAGATGTAATAAACTAGACCTTGTTATGTAAGATTCTTCTTGTTCAGATTCTGTTGCGGTCTATCCTCAACTGCTGGTAGACGTGCCCTTGCACTAAGAGTAGAAAGGAGGATTAACTGGGGGTGCTGTAGCACCCCAGTAATGATATTTTGATTAAAATAGGATAAGTTTCTGTTGCAGTTCTGTAAGTTTCTCTTTGGCAGCGTGAATTTTGTTTTTATTACAGGCACTGTAACGTGTCTAGATGTTATTTTGAAAGAATAGAAAGAAGGCTTGATGGCAGCAACCTACCTCAGCCAGTGGTAGGTAACCAGAAAACATGACCATTGGGATTGGGTTTGAGAGTGGAGACAGAGATGTACAAGCATTTAGTTTTACAAAATCACAGCTAGAGAAGATCTTGGTGAAGTCATTGATATGAGGATTTGGAAGGAAGTTGATTTTAACCATTTTCTTTCTTGCCAAGAATTTTTTTGGCAATTACTGCTCCAACAACATAAACTTTGTCTTGTCTTTGCAGCCCCATGGCCTCTCGGTGGTTTTGACTTCACCTGCAGTCTTCACTTTCACAGGCTCTGTGTGTCCTGACCGGCACTTGGAAGCAGCTGAGATACTAGGTGGGAAAGTACAATTCTAACTGACCACTTCAACAGTATTAGAACTGAGCATTTGGAAGTGAATTTGTAAATCTGTAGAACCTCTATTTCATTTCATTTTTGGTAATGCTCTTACAAAAATATTTTTATGGAAATCAAATTGATAAGGTTGACAACTAACCTCAACTGTCATTAAGTGAGACACCATTTGTCTGTTTTGTAATTATGTTTGCTTATTAACCAATCTCAATGACTAATTGAATAAAATACAATGTATTTAATCTGCACAGATTTTTCAGATCAGCTTATCAATTAGATATAAATCCCATATGTAGAACATTGTTTACAGATTATCTTTCCAGTATGTGTGGATCAATAAATTTACAGTTAATAAAGAAACTATAGTGAATATTACTAAAATTAATATTAAGTTATAATTAGTTATTTATCTTCTGGTTAATTGTAGAGTCATAGAGATATATAGCATGGAAACAGACTCTTTGGTCCAACTCGTCCATGCCGACCAGATATCCTAAATTAATCTAGTTCCATTTGCCAGCATTTGGCCCGTGTCCCCCTAAACCCTTCCTACTCATATGGCCATCAAGATGCCTTTTAAATGCTGTAACTGTGCCAGCCTCCACCACTTCCTCTGGCAGCTCGTTCCACACACGACCACCCTCTGTTTGAAAAGTTGCCCCTCAGGTCCCTTTTAAATCTTTCCCCTCTCACCCTAAACCTATGCCCTCTAGTTTTCGACACCCCCCACCCTGGGGAAAAGGCCTTGTCTATTTACCCTTTCCATGCCCCTCATGATTTTATAAGCCTTTATAAGGCCACCTCTCAGCATCTGACACTAAAAGGAGAAAAGCTCCAGTCTATTCAGCCTCTCCGTATAGCTCAAACCCTCCAAACCTGGCAACATTCTTGTAAATCTTTTCAGAACCCTTTTAAGTTTCACGACATCCTTCCTATAGTAGGGAGACCAGAATTGCATGCAGTATTCCAATATTGGCCTAAACAATGTACTGTATAGCCACAACATGACCTCCCACTCCTGTACTCAATGCACTGACCAATGAAGGCAAGCATACCAAATGCTTTCTTCATTATCCTGTCTACCTGGGACTCCAGTCTCAATTAGCAGACTGCAATTAATAAATTTGATCCACAGCAAATATCAAAGAGCTTTGGGCCTAAAATATATTGTAATTGCAAAACAGTTCTTGGCAGGCGAGAAATTCAGTTTCTCTGATTTTCACAAAGAATTTCTTTGTAAGGCACTAATCAACACGTGGCTTAGAAATAAGACGAGCTTTGTTGGAGTAACTAGTCATTGCATTCAGTTTGCTTGTATGCGCATGATTTGATGTGTGGTGCATTTCCTGGAATCAGATGCAGAGGAAAGTAAAATGAAGTTGTAATTTACTGAGCATACAGTGTGACCTCATTCCTAGCTGATACCACAAACTGAGCTCTTTGTCTCCTTCAGGGACTGATGTGCAGACTGTGAAACGTGAAGATGCAGGATTAGTTCTGGCTGATGCTCTTCGCAAATTCCTCTTTGAGTTGAAGGTTGAAGATGGCCTAACTGCAGTTGGTTACAGCAGAGAAGACATTCCAGATCTAGTCAAAGGAACTCTGCCTCAGGTGTGTAGTAGTCTACAGCACTGCTTCAAGAAGGAGAGATTAGTTTTGACTTTTACAAATTCAGGCACAGTGGCTCAGTGGTTAGCACTGCTGTCCCATGCCAGGGACCCAGTTTTGATTCCACCCTCGAGTGACTATCTGTGTGGAGTTTGCACATTCTCCCCATGTCTGCGTGGGTTTCCTCCGGGTGCTCCGGTTTCCTCCCAAAGTCCAAAGATGTGCAGGTTAGGGTGGATTGGCCATGCTAAATTGCCCATAGCATCCAGGGATGTGCAGACTAGGTGGATTAGCCATGGAAAACGCAGGGTTACAGTGTTGGAGTTGGTCAGTGTGGACCCAGTGGGCTGAATGGCCTGCTTCCACATTGTAGGGATTCTATGATGATCCAATAGAGGGACAAAATAAAATGCAATATGAGAAAAATAGTAAATAACTTGGGAAATGGTTTGTTACTATGGTAAACCAAACTTCAGAGTAATCTTAAGGGAAGACATAAGTTTTGCAGTCATACTTCCTGTGCTATAGCATTCAAGACTCATTATTTGAGTATGTCCAAGCTAAATTATTTAATACTCTTCTGTGGTTCCCCTCGTATCTGAAGAATCGATGTGGAATCAGCAGTTTTTTTTAAAATTCATTGAATGAGGGTGTCGCTGGCTAGGCAGCATTTATTGCCCATCCCTAATTGCCCAGAGGGCAGTTAAGAGTCAACCACATTGTTGTGGGTCAGGAGTCACATTTAGGCCAGACCAGGTAAGGAAATCCTTCCCCAAAGGACATTAGCAAACCATATGGGTTTTCCCGGACAATCGATTCATGGTCATCATTATACTCCTAATCCCAGGTGTTTTTTTATTGAATTCATGGCAGGATTCAAACCCAGGCCCCAAGAACATTCCTGGGTCTCTCGATTAACAGTCCAGCGATAATACCATGAGGCCATCACCTCCTGTCGCCCACAGAGCTGGCAATTCCTATTGTCTTTCTTGGCACTTTTTGGGGGAGATTGTGCCACTTTAACCATCCTCTAGGCTGTTCTCAAGGTTAATGTAGAAGGTCATTGAAATGCATTAAGCTAAATTGTATAGCTAGCCTTCATGAGAGCAGTTGGCTGTCAAAAAGACTAATTTTAAACTTAAAAAAGGGTAACTATATGGGTATGAAAGCTGAGCTGGCTGAAGTGAACTGGTATGCTAGGATAGAGGATAGATTAACAGTGAAGCAGTGGCAGATATTTGAGGGGAGATTTCAGAACACTCACAATACGTACATTCCTGTGATAAGGAAAACCTCCAAAGGGAGGACCCACATCTCTGGTTAAATAAATAATTTAAAGAAAGCTTCAAACTGAAGGAAAAAGCATATACTTGCATAAGAATGAGTGGCTGGTTAGATAATTGGACAGAACATGAAGGAAGGCAGAGTGACCAAAGGATTGATCAGGAGAAAGCACTGAGAGTATAAGAAGAAGGCTGCTAAAAGTAGATAGCAACAGTTTCCACACATATTTGAGGACAAGAGAGAGTAAACAAGAGAGAGTAGGACTGTTCCCCTGGAGAGTGAGAATGGGAGTTCATAGTTGATAATAAGGAAAAGGTTTATGAAATGAAGAAATATCTTGCTTCTCTCTTCACGATAGAGGATAGAAAAATACATTGCAGTAATGTCTGTAAATCAGGAGTTGGGAAAGAGGAACTTAATGAAATTACAATCATGAGGGAAGTAGTTGGAAATGTAGAGCCAGTCAATGGAAATGTGGAGCAAATCAATGGACTGTGAACTGACACGGCTCCAACTCCTGAAGAACTTCATCCTTGAGTCTAAACGAGGTAGCTAATGAGGTAGTATGGTCAGAGTTAGTGTTAATTTTCCAAAATTCACAAGATTCTAGAAAGGTTCCATCAGTTGTCAGTATAACCCCTCTATTCAAGAAGGAAAAGAACCAGAAAACAGTCAGGATATAGGTCAATTAGATTGATGGCCATCCTGGAAAAAGTGTTAGAATTGATCATTAAAGAGGTTAAAGCTGGATACTTTGAAAGTGTCAAGGTAATCAGGAAGACTCAGCATACTTCAGCTCCACACTGTATCGACCGTGAAGGTATATGCCTGATGCGGAAGTAGCCAACTTCCAGATCTCTGCTAGCCAATCAGGCACCTGGATGTTTGCTTGAATTCCTTAGGTTCAATACCATTTTGAGCTACGTCTTTAGAAGTGGAAGGAATCTCCATGATCCTGACATCAAAACATAGGAAATGGAGTGGTCTATTCAGCCCCTTGAGCCTGTTCCACCATTGAGTGAGTTCATGGCTGATCTGCAGCCGACCTCCATTTACCTGCCTTTGGCCCATATCCCTTAGTATCTTTGCTTACCAAAATGAATCTGTCAGAGATTTAAAATTAACAACTGATCCAGCATCCATTGCCATTTATGGAAGGGAGTTCCAAACCTGTACACTCCAAACCTGGAGTGCTTGCTAACATCTCTCCTGAATGGTCTGGCCCTAATTCTCAGACTAAGCCCTATAATTCCAGAATCCCCATCCAGTGGAAATAGTTTATCTGTATCTACCCTTTTTTTTCCTGTTAATACCTTGAAAACTTTGATCAGGTCACTCCTTAAGCTTCTAAATTCTGGAGAAAACAGGACTAATTTGTATAATAGGAACAAAAACAGAAGTTGCTGGAAAAGGTCAGCAGGTCTGGCAGCATCTGTGAAGAAAAATCGGAGTAAATGTTTCGGATCCGGTGACCCTTCCTCAGAACTGTCGGAGAGAGGAGTAGAACTTCTTCAAGTCAGGCATGCCTGGAACAGATGTAGCAGTGAATTCTGAGGAAGGATCACCAGACCTGAGATATTAACTCTAGTTTTATTTCACAGATGCTGCCAGATCTGCTGAGCTTTTCCAGCAACTTCTGCTTTTGTTCCTGATTTGCAGTATCCACGGTTCTTTCAGTAATTTGTATAATCTCTCCTCATCACTAACTCCTGAAATCCAGGTTTACAATGTTTCTCTTCCAGGAACCAGACCCATTGGCAGCTTATTCCAGGGGTAGGTAAGTGCATGTATACTGAAAAAGAACCACCTTAAACAATTTGGAGACAATAAATAGTTTTTCTGCTGTTCTCGTTTAGGAGAGAGTAACAAAACTGTCACCAAGGCCTCAGACAGAGGAAGACCTGACAGCTTTATTCGAGTCTTCTATGAAGCTATATTAATCTTGTTCTATAGAATAAAGAGCTCAAAACTACATTAAGATAAGGGAACCTCACTGAATACAAAGGAATGTAAGCAATCCATTACTTTTGTCAACCAACTTGTCAATATAAGTTTTAAATATGTTGCTGAAAATATTTCAAGTTAACGACAGTAATCAGTCATTACATTATAATTGTGGAACACAGTTTTCCAAGTGATTAATTTCATTATTAATTCACTGGCACGTATTGGTTGCCTAGTACCATTGCATGGCCAATAGAAAGAAAAATCAGGAATGATAGAGTCATGCAGCACGGAAGCAGGCACTTCGGCCCAGCTTGTCCATGCCGACCAGTTTTCCTAAACTGAACGAGTCCCATTTGCCTGCATTTGGCCCATATCCTTCTAAACTTTTCCTATCCATCTACATGCCCAAATGTCTTTTAAATGTCTACGACTTCCTCTGGCAGCTCATTCCATATACGCATTACCCTGAGTGTGAAAATGTTTCTCTTTAGGTCTCCTTTAAATCTTTCCTCTCTCACCTTAAACCTATGCCATCAACTTTTCGATGCCCCTAGCCTGGGGAAAAGGTCTTAGCTAGTCACCTTATCTATGCCCCTCATGATTTTATAAGCCTGTATGAGGTCGCCCCTCAGCCTCCTACGTCAGGGAAAAAAGTACCAGCCTCTCCTTATAACTCAAACCCTCCAGTCTTGGTAACATGCTTGTAAATTTTTTTTTGCACCCTTTCCAGTTTAATAACATCCTTCCTATAGCAGGGTAACCAGAATTGTACGCAGTACTCCAAATGTGGCCTTACTGATGTCCTGTACAGGCGTAACATGACACCCCAACTCCTGTACTCAGTGCTCTGACTGTTGAAGGCAAGGATACCAAATGCCTTCTTCCCCACCCTGTCTATCTGTGATGCCACTTGCAAGGAACTACATACCTGAAACTATATACCGTAGTTCAACAACATTCCCCAGGATCCTACCATAAAGCGTGTAAGTCTTGCCCTGGTTTGTCTTATCAAAATGCAACACCTTGCATTTATCTGAATTAAACTCCATCTGCCATTTCTCAGCCCATGGCCCAGTTGATCAAGGTCCCATTGTAATCTTAGATAACTTCTTCACTGTCTTCTATACCACCAGTTTTGGTGTCACCTGCAAACTTCCTAACCATGCCCTCTATATTCTCATCCAAATCATTTATATAAATGGATCCAACACCAATCCTTGCAGGATGCCACTGGTCACAAGCCTCCTATATGAACAACACTCTACCACCACCCTCTGTCTCCTACCCTCAAGCCAATTTTGTAACTGTGACATAATTCCTGATCAGCTAGAGTTGAAAATTTTAAATTGTTTTGTATCCAAGCTAAATATCACATTTTGTGAAGGATGTCATGACTACGGAGAAGGTGCAGAGAAGATTTACTGTAGTGGTACCAGGGATGCATCCCGCTCTGCAGAGAAAATGGAAAATCTATCTCTGTATTAAATACACTCAATGACTTGGCCTCCACAGCCCTCTGTGGCAATGAGTTCCACAGATTCACTACTCTCTAGCTGAAGAAATTCCTCCTCATCTCAGTTCTACAGGATCATCTCTTCCCTCTGAGGCTGTGCCCTTGGGTCCTAGTCTCTCCTACTGGTGGAAACATCTTCTCCACATCTGCTCTATCCAGGCCTCTCTGTATTCTATAAGTTTCAGTCAGATCCCCATTATCCTTCTAAATTCCATCAAGCACAGACCCAGAGTCCTCAGCAGCTCCTGATTTGAAAAGCCCTTCATCCCTGGGATCATTCTTGTAAACCTCCTCTGGACCCACTCCAAAGCCAGCACGTTTCAAAGAACAAAACAAAGAACAAAGAAAATTACAGCACAGGAACAGGCCCTTCAGCCCTCCAAGCCTGCGTCGATCCAGATCCTCTATCTAAACCTGTCACCTATTTTCCAAGGATCTGTATCCCTCTGCTCCCTGCCCATTCATGTATCTGTCTAGATACATCTTAAATGACGCTATCGTGCCCGCCTCTACCACCTCCGCTGGCAATGCATTCCAAGCACCCACCACCCTCTGCATAAAGAACTTTCCACGCATATCTCCCATAAACTTTTCCCCTCCCTTAAACGTTTCCTTAGATACAGTGTCCAAAACTGCTCACAATATTCCAATTGCAGTCTGAGCAGAGGCATATATCTCTGCTGTTGCATTCTATCCCTCTTGAAATGAATGCTAACATTGCATTCCTAATTGCCAACTAAACCTGCATATTACCCTGAAGAGAATGATGAACTCGGGCTCTTAAGCCCCTTTGTGCTTCAGATTTCCGAAGCCTTTCCCAATTAGAAGATAGGCTACCCCTCTATTCTTCCTACCAGAGTGCATAACTGCACTCTTTGCCACATTGTATTCTATCTGCCACTTCTTTACTCACTCTCCTAGCCTGTCCAAGTCCTTCTGCAGACCTCCCGTTTCCACAACACTCCCTAGCCCTCCACCTATCTTTGTGATATCTGCAAACTTAGCAACAATGCCCTCAGTTCCTTTGTCCAGGTAATTAAATATATGAGTAGTTGTGGTCCCAATGCTGACCCCGGCGCAACTCCACTAGTCATCAGCTACCATCCCTTTATTCCCATTCTCTGCCTTCTGCCAGTCAGCCAATTCTCTATCCATTGCCAGTACCTTGCCCCTAACACTATGGGCTCTTATCTTATTTAGCAGCGTCCTGTGTGGCACCTTATCAAAGGCCTGCTGGAAATGCAAATCAATTACATCCAATGG